ATGCTTGAATCCTCACATTCATTTTAGTTTTGCGCTTCCTACGAATTAATCAAACATCTAGGCACCGTTGAAGGAAGGTCTTAAGTTGATTTGGCATTACTATTGGAATGACCTCTTCAGATTAGCCAACACTTGTTTCTATTTCATTTTCATCAAGAACACAATTCACCAAACCTCAAACATCAAAGATTTTTACACTTTACCCTTTTCACCAAAATCACCTTCATACANATTTAAACTAAAGCAAGAAATCATAAACTAAGAAGAACAATATTCAATACCCATTTTAAAGTATGAAATAAAGAAAACTTGAAAGCAACAATGGTGGATTGAAGAACATGTAACTAAACTTGAAATATACTTGAAATAGCTAAGATTAAAAAGCATGAATCAAGGATTACAAGAAATTTGAAGCTTACTACAATTGAAATGGAATGGAAAATGCAAAAACATAAGCTTTATCACTATTCATCTTCTTCTTCCTTGGACTACTCCTAAGCTTAGGTAGCCAGCCTTTCAAAGCTTGTGTATGCTGAATATATGGTGAAGACATGATGCATTTTTGTCCATGAGGCTCCCCTAACCTGTGTGTGTAGACCTCCTATCCATAGGAGGTGATTTGAAGGCGTGGACAGGCTAGGAGAAGGCTAGCCTGCACCTATCATGGCTTCCATTTTTCTCTCTCCTCCTCTCCCATCCTCCATCTTCTTTTGTTGACTTTGGGGACTAGGAGGTATGTAGATGTGTAGAATATGTCAGGGGACAAGTGGGAGAATCATAGGTGGGACCCCCAAGGAAGTGGAGCATGAGTTGCAGGCGTTCTGGGCATTATAGGCAAAACCTTCCAAAAGATTTTTGTAAACCTTCCGGAAGGTCGATTCCAGTAGGCAAAACCTTTCAGAAGGTGACAGCTCAGGACCACCTTTAGTAAAATTGCCATAACTTTTCATCCAACCATTGGATGTAGCTGAAAGTTTGACACAATACAGAAGACATCCATATCTATAACTTTTTGAACGTTTCCAGATTCGGAGTAGATCATGGTAAAACATAGAAAAAACAGTGGTGCTATGTCAAAACCTTGGGAAACCAGTGGGAAAAACCTTCCGGAAGGTGTATGGCCAAACCTTCCGCATGGTTTTCATCCAAAATTCATTTTTCCTGATTTATTCACCTTCCAAGCCTTCCAATCCTCATTTAATGTGTCCATCTCTTCACCACACATTCACACTTAGTTGGAGGGCTCTAAAATCAATCATTTATGCTATAATTACCTGCAACATAAAATTTCTACTTTATTCAAAAATTCAACTAACTCTAAGTAATTAAATGCAAAGTTAAGTTAGAAAGCATGGAAGGAGGTCATTAAATATTCAATATTTTGTGCTCATCAGCTAGCCTACCCAATGTCTTCCAATCAGCCTCCTATGGATGGGACGTCTGTCACACACCTAAGGGGACCTCCATGGATGAATTTGCAAGCTCCATACACCATTACTTAGATGGTATTACATTATAGAGAGAGAAGCCCCAAGGAAGAAGATGAAGTTCTAGAGAGAGAAATTGATATTTTTATATTTTCTTCCATCCATTCACTTGTAGTTTCTTGTAAGAATTGTGTAAGCTTCATTTAATGTCTTTAATTTCATCTATTACAGGTACATTGCAAGTTTAGTCTTTCATTTTTGATTTCACCATTGTTGTATTAAGTTTTCTTCACTTTCAAGCTTTGAAATGGGTATTGAATATTTCTCGTCATAGTTTATGTTTTCTTGCCTTAAACTACATTCTAATCTTCATTTTTTTACAATGTCTCTTCATTACATTTATGTATTTGCTTTAAATATAAGTAGCTAAGATTTTAAGTTGGCTAATCCAAGGGAGAATTCCTCTTGGGTATGCCAAATCAACCCTTTTTCATTTCTTGTACTGTACGATGATTTGTCTAACTAGAATGAGTGTGGACGTGGTTGTGAGTTCTTGATACACCAAAAACTTGTCAAGGGGTATGCTTGAATCCTCACATTCATTTTAGTTTTGCGCTTCCTACGAATTAATCAAACATCTAGGCACCGTTGAAGGAAGGTCTTAAGTTGATTTGGCATTACTATTGGAATGACCTCTTCAGATTAGCCAACACTTGTTTCTATTTCATTTTCATCAAGAACACAATTCACCAAACCTCAAACATCAAAGATTTTTACACTTTACCCTTTTCACCAAAATCACCTTCATACAATTCCCTTCCTTCCCTAAGGATACAACCTTGGAATACGAATTTGAAGAAAAATACAACCCTCGAAAGTCTCTCTACACTTGGAGAGCACTTTTGTTCACACACACGCATATTTAATTCCACACACCCGTTTTCATATTTCTTGCATTGAATCTGAGTGAAAGTGACACTCACCCATACACATAAGCCATACACACATTAAGGGTTCATGTTTAGAGAGCAGGGTATGTGACGGAACCATTCAAGCATAAACCTGTATGCAGATCTTGAATCAATCCTCCTTGGACATATTTTTCACATTTACTGAAGTAATAATTTTGGTTCATCAGTAAAATTTCTTTGAATATATATGTTTTGATTAGCACTTGTCAAATGACATGTCAAACATTCTCCTTTAAATCTTTATGGAAATTATGCAGGTGCATGAATTCTAGAAAATGATCTTAGGCCATTTGTGATTTAATTTTGAGCCTTAGTCATTTCTTTTGCAAAACTATATCCCTAGTAAGTCGTGATTGAGAATAAAAACTATAATGTCTTTTCTTTAAACCCATCATTTAGTCGAGCCCCCAAAAATATATTTATCCGACCCTTGCTATCTTGTAAGAAGTAAAGAATCAGTGAAGAAACAAAAGAGAACAAGGGAAGGAAAAAAGCAAGGAAGAAAAGAAAGAAAATAGCAAGAAATTGAAAAAATATGATTGAAAGGAGAAATGGGAATACAATGTGTAAAAGTTTTGAAAAAATAGGAGAGGTGTGTGTTACACTAATTGAAAAGGATAGTTTTTTGAATACCTTTGATGTCTTTTCTTTAAACCCAATACCCTTGGCCACTCTATAACCTTGATAAAGTCCTTTTTGATTCAAAAAGTCATGCATATGTATATTTTTCACCCATTCATTAAGAAGAAAGAGTGTTGATAATGTTGTTTGATATAGTGTTAATATTATTTCATGAGATTATGCCAATTTCCAATTCTATTCAAATATCCATCTTTTGCGATATTTCATGTCCTATTATCTTGCTTTGATAACAATATTCTTATCACATGTACTTTTTAAGGGATAGTTACTAAAACTTGAGTGTATTCTTCGCTGAGCGATTTCCAAGAAAGGATTGACATCGAAGCTAATTCTTGTATAGTAGAGTCAAGGATTGTGATATTTCTTAAGTATTTTTTGAAATAAAGAAATCTTTGTACACACATGAGTTTTTCTGAAAATATATGGAATAGTATTACAATTAATGTGTGTTACTCTTATGGAGACCAGGGAAGGGAAAGTATTCTGATAATATGATAGAATGGTGATTTAATCTTATATGTTGAAAAATATGAATTATGTAATCTGAACCTTTGAAGTTTGTAGGTATCTTCACTGAAAATCTTCACAAGATAAAACTCATCCACTAGGGATCACCTAGGAGTTTAACGGCTTGTTGCATAGGCTAAATGCAATCGTGAAATCTACGAAAGTGATTTTGTTTTATTTGTTTTATTACTAGGGACTAGTAATGTTTGGTTAGGGGTGTGATTAACCCTAAATAGTACGTAAATGAAATAGGGTTTAGGGTTAATTGTGTGTGTAAAGTATTAGGGTTAATGTGTAGTTTGTATATTTTGTAGGGTTTTAAGAATAAATATAAAAGATTGAGAGGATCAAAGTGCAGAGGATGAATAAAGCAAGGGATGCAAGTGTAATTAAGAAGGCAAAGAGTCAAACAAGGGTGGCTGCCAAGCATGAAATCCAGAGAATCCCCGCTATCTAGATGGTCGTAGTGGCATCCGGACGGTGCCTAAACCACCTCACTTCTCTCTCTTCTTCCATGGGTTCATTTAAGCAACAAAAGCCTCCTATTGGTCAGCTTGGGTGTCTATTGCCTTTGGCTGAAATTTAGGTTCATTTAATTCAGGTATTCTAGAGAGAGAAGTACTGACTTCTCTTTAGGATTTTTTTCCCTTTCATGAGTTCTTCACCAAGTTCTTCTTTAATACCGCCAAAACATCCATATTTACAGCCTAAAAATCAACCACAGCCCCAAACATCCTATGCTTCACTCTTTAAACAATCATTCAAACCTTTTCCTGTGGAAGAATCTACTCTCAAGATTGAAAAACTAGTGGTATTTTATGAAGGGGAGCCAGCCTTTTACTTCACCAATGAAGAAGTGAAACAATCTTGTTTACCTTTGTAGTATGCTTTAATAGGCAAATGTATCCATGGGCGTCCAAGTTTGGGAGTAATATGTGAAGTGATACATTGAAAATGGGATTTGAAAGGATAATTTGAGATAGAATCAATGGCTCCTAGACATATTTTTGTAAGGTTTGAAAAGCATGAAGACTATGTGAAATTTTGGTTGAAAGATGCAACCACAATTGAAGACTACTTGTTCAGATTTTTCAAATGGTTCCCTGAATTTGTTCCAGGCATTGAACCTTCCATTCTTCCTATATGGATATATTTACCTGGGTTACCATTGAATTTCTTTAAAAAGTCTTTCTTAGAGTTGTTAGTGAAGACAATTGGAAGAGTCTTGGCATATGACCAAGCTACATTATCTTTAACCAGACTTGGAGTTGCTAGAGTGTGTGTTGAGGTAAATTTACTAGCAAACAATCCCTCTAGGATCTGGCTAGACATGGGAGATGAGGATGCTCGCTAGCAAAAGATTTTATATGAAAGGAATAAAAAATTTTGTAGAGGCTGCAGAAAGCAAGGTCATGATGAAGTTGAATGCAGGAAGAAGAAGCCATTGAATCCAATGAAGGTTATGGATGGAAAGATTTCACCAATGGATTATGTGAATGATTCTACAGGTGCGCAAAAGGAAATTGATGATCAAAGGAAAGGGAAGAATATTCAGATTTTAGGGAAGGAAAGCATTCAAATCCCAGAATTTGGTAATCAAATTAGGAAAGGTTTAATCACGTACAAGGGTGCAACAACAAGGAGTATGGAAAGCACACAGTCCATAGAAGGAAACAGTTGGCAAAGGAAATGTCATGGAAGGAAAGTTTGATAAATACTTCATGGAAGATATTACAGAGAAAGTTTCTAAAGAAATCCCAATAATTCTGGAGAATGGCAAACATTCAGGTAAAGATATGGAAACCACTAACTTGCAAAATCTTGTAATCAATGATTTTTCCCAAGCTAAGGAGTTTCCAAATGAAAAAATACCAGCTGCAGACATTGGAGAAACTCTTGTTGAGAATCCCATGGAACCTTTGGAACCGCCAACATGCACGTATCCTATGGAGGGGCTTTGTCAATGGAAAGAGCAATGTTTTTCTACCTTTCTGGTGGAGCACCATTACACTTACAGAGAAGGTGGTGAGGTCTCTTTAGATGATGAGAGGGGTTTGGCACGCAGCAAGGAGTCTCCTGACAAAGGATTTTATTCTGATAATGATATTGCTTACCATATTGATGTGGATTCCCATGATTCAGATTTTGACGAAGGCATACATGAACAATTCCAAGCCACTATTCATCCAGGGTCAAATTGAGGTGCAAATGAGAATTTTGATGCTAACCAAACTCCCATGCAGTCAGGTATGATTACTAGATCGAGTTCTAGACAACTTTATTTATCCAATTATTTAAATTATTAACATCATTTAATGGAATGTGAGGGGAGCTGACAAAGAAGCCTAAAGGAAGAGGTTACGGAAGTTAATTATGGCTAATAATGTGTGCCTGCTTGCTATATTAGAATCAAAATTAATGCTTGAAAAATTAAGAGGACTTTGTCTTAGTTTGAGTTTTTCTACTTCATTAGCTAATCCTTTAGCTAATAAGCACATATGGATTCTTTGAGATCACAGGTTTCAAGTGGAGGTCTTTTCTATTAATGAGCAAGCTTTAATAGTCAAAACATCCTATATGCGTTCTCTACCTTTTTTGGTTTCTTTTGTCTATGCTAAGTGTGACCATCTCCTTCGAAGATCCTTATGAGATCATCTCTGTTCATTGTCAATTTTGGCTATGCCATGGATGGTGGTAGGGGATTTCAATACAATTTTGCCTTCTTCCGAAAAGAAAGGAGGGTCATCACCTAGTATCTATGTTATACATGAGTTTATTTCTTTCATTCATACAATGGGCTTGAAGGACTGTGGGTATAATGGACCAAACATTACATGGTGTAATAATTGTGAAGGTATGGCAAGGATGTGGCAACGCATTGATAGAGCATTGATAAATGTGGAATGGGAAGAAAGATACTAGAGTTTAGTTGTTGAGCATGTTGCTTGTGGCTCTTTTGATCACCGTCCTCTTATTATTAAGAACTCTGAAGAAGTGAAACCTAGAAGAGTATCCTATTTTAAATTCATGGACATGTGGGTTGAACACTCCGGTTTTTTGCCTTTAGTAGAAGCTACTTGGGGGGTTCTTATGCACCAAACCCTATATAACATGTGTTGCTCAGGCTTGAGTATCTAAAATTCCATTTAAAAAATTAGAACAAGGAGACATTTGGCAATGTGTTTGCAAATATCAAGAAGCATGAACAACAACTGCTGCTAGTAGAGATGGAGTTGGAAAGGCAGGATTCTGAAATGAATGTTTTATCGGTGGAAAAGGCAAGAATGGAGCTAGATAATGCGCTCACATAGAGAAGATATTTTGGAAGCAAAAAGCCAACGTCCAGTGGGCAATTGAGGGTGAAAGAAATACAAGATTGTATCATGCCATAGCCAAAGGGCAATCAACAAGAAGTTGAATTCAAAGAATTAAAAATGAGGAAGGTATTTGGGTGGAGGAGGAAAATTTGATTGCAAATTCTGCAGTGAATTATTTTTCTAACCTCTACACATCAGAACCTCATACTATAAAGAATGATTTATTTTCTTTCATACCTAACCTGATTACATAGGAGGACAATGTCATGTTTCCCTTTTACTGTATTAATGGAAGAACAAAAGTTAGTGGCCTTTCAAATGCCTGTGCATAGTACCCCAGGTCCAGACGGCTTCTCAAGTAATTTTTTCCAAATTGCTTGAGCTATAATCAAGAATGATTTGTTAGATGCTACAAATTTTTTTTTTGCAAGGGGGAGTAATTCCTAGATCGATTAATGCCATATTGTTATCTCTTATTCCGAAAACAGACAAGCCCTCCAACTTTTTGGAGTTTAGGCCAATAAGTTTATGCAATTTTCTGTATAAATTCTTTACAAAATAGTTGGCCTCTAGATTAAGCAAACTTCTTCCCAAGCTAATTTTGGATGTGTAGCAAAGCTTTGTCAAAGGTAGGAATATTGTAGATAGTATTGCAGTAGCTCAATTAATGGTCAATGAATTGGACAAGAAGGTGGAAGGAGGTAATGCCATTGTTAAACTGGATATGATGAAAGCATTTGATCATTTAGAATGGGATTTTTTAAAGCAAATGCTGAAGAGTTTTGGTTTCTCAGAAGCTTTTGTCCTCATTATTTTTAACTGCCTTAATAAACATAATATCTCTCTGGTAATTAATGGTGTTAGACATGGTTTATTTCCTAGTTTGAGGGGGTTGAGGCAAGGGGACCCCTTATCCCCCTTTTATTTATTCTAGCAGAAGAAGTTTTAAGCAAGGGTTTAAAGCATCAATTTCAGCAAAGATTGATTAGGAGCTTTCACACAGGAAGAGATTCGACTTTGCTTTCACATATGTTGTTTGTAGATGATACTTTGATTTTTCTGAAAGGTACTAAGAAGTCAATGACCAACTTGTTGAAGTTTGTGAGTATATATGAAGCTTCTTCAGACCAAAAAGTTAATATGCGAAAAAGTTCACTTTATTGCTCCTCAAGAATCCCATTAGCAAGGAAAAATAGGTTGTCACAAGTTGCTAATATCCCTATCAAATCTTGTCCATTCATCTATTTGGGTTGTCCTATCATTAAAGGGAGAGTTCAGCTTCATCACTTTGAAGATCTTTTGAAAAAGTTTCAAGTTAAGTTGGAGGGATGGTATACTAAATTGCTTTCAAAAATTACACTTATTAAGTTAGTCTTACACTCTCTACCAGTCCATCTCCTATCTTCTCTAAACCTACCTAAGGGAATCATAGCTAAGCTGAATTCTATGATGGCCTCTTTCCTTTGGTCCAGTAAATCAGGAGTTAAAAGTGACATTGGTGTTCTTGGAAGTCGATTACATTGCCTAAAGAAGAGGGAGGATTGGGTGTCAGAAAGTTTGAGGAGGTTCAACAATTCTTCAGAATGAAACAAATCTGGTATTTGATGAAGGGTTCCCCCATGTGGTCATCCTTCTTTACTGCTAAGTTCCTTAATAACCAACATCTACTTAGAAACCTAAGAGAAGGGCACTCAAGATGTTTCAACACTTTGCGGCCTTACTTTGAGTTGGTAGTGAGTAACTCCTAATATCTTGTGGGTACAGGAGTTTCAATAGACTTCTGGTGTGATTATTGGACAGGGTTTGGCCCACTCATAATTAGAAATTATATTATGCCTACATATTTTCCAAAGCTGTCACAAGTCTTGATTAATGGACATTTGGAACTAAATATGGTTCAGCAGGATATAGATGCCCATCTACTGCAAGTAGTGATAATAGCTGATATCTGCTTATCTACGAGAGCAGATAGACTTGTCTAAAAACACACATCTTTGGGTAATTTTACTGTTAAGTCTACCAGGGAGCTACTTAGAGATAGGGGAATTATCAGGTTTATGCATCCACAGTTTGGAAGCAAGCTGCGCCCCCAAGTGCACAATTTTTGGGGTGGAAAATCTTAAAGAAGGCATTACCTATGCACTCTACATTTCAAAGAATAGACATTAACTTGGCAAGTAGATGTGCCTTATGCTACTCAGAAGTTGACACAGAAAACCATATCTTTATCTCTTGTAAGTTTGCATCAGTTATATGGAAGAAGTTTTCGAATGTATTAGGATTTCAGCTGATGGCTAATGAATCTCCTATCACAAGATTTATGAGGATTGCTTGAATCTACAGGCATTCGTCTCTCTTCCACACCTTAATAAGAGGTCTTCCATTGGTTATATATTGGTAGCTTTGGCAAGAGCGATGCAAAAGGCTATATGAAAGTGAAAAGAAAATTCCTTTAGTAGTGTTTTGGACAATATTAAATCAATGGAGGCTGCAAGTTCATGTAATCAAGCCTAAATTGGTTGACCCACTTTAAGACAATATGTTGCTTCAGTCACTCAATGTATATCCAAATTGCTTTGTGTATAGGCTAAATGGATTAACTGGTCTTTACCTCCAGAAGGATTTTGAAAGTTTAACACTAACGATGCATCAAAGGGAAATCCAGGTTTGTCTGGAGGGGGTGTGGTGCTCAGAAATAATAGGGGGCAATTTGTCCTTGCATGATCATATTACTATGGTTATAGTACGAATATGGATGCTGAATTGAATACATTATGGAATGGCTTGTTATTGTTGTGGGATTATGGATTCGGGGATTATCCTCAAATTATTGAGTCTGACTCCAAAATTTTAGTGGATATGGTCTCTCAGAGGCAAATATCATCTTGGAAATTCTGGGAACTTGCAAATAAAATTTTCTCTATTATTTAAAGTTTTGAATTTCAAAAAAGACATTCATATAGAGAAGAAAATGTAGTTGCAGACTCATTAGCCAATCAAGGAGTCAGAGATGGGGCTTCTCACATTCACACCTCTTTTGATACCTTACCTATCCACATGAGACAACTTCTATTACAGGATCAAAGTCAGATTTTCTCTCTGCGTTCTAAGGTTATTGTCATTCGATAACTATTTTTTTGGATTTTTTTTATAGAGCATGCAAAAATGTGGATCAGGTTCCTATTCTATATCATCAGAAAAAAGTTCTCATCCATTCAAATATCAAAACAACCAGAATAGTCCATTTTTCTATACAACCCAAAATTAGTGTAAAGGAGAGTTCTATGTAAAGAAACACAAATTGTGGAGAATATGGTAGGAACCTGTTTCTTGTCAAGGCATCTGGTATTTTTGTGTAGCATCTTAATCTTCTATGCTACCAAGTTTGTGGATTTGCTCTTATCTCTTACTTTAATAGCAGTCTCCTGTTGGATGTCCCTCTTCTTCTGGGCTCTGAGATTCTACTACTTCTGGACATTCCCTACTGGTTTGTATAATTTTGGTTTATGGACTTCTCTCTATTCATAATTATTGAGTGTTTGTACTCCTCTGGTGCTCAAAGTATTAGCCCATCAACACTCTGGGTCTCTTGATCTCCCACCTTCACAATAGCAAATCAAGGAATATCCACCAAAGGACAATTGGAATTGTTTGTCTCTAACCATTTTTAGAATATCAAATGTTTTAAACATTCTACCTTCTCAAGAAAACCAAAAGACTTCACAATAGGTAACACAGGTTATCAAGCGGCTCTCTAGTTTCCAAGGTCTCTAAGCTCAGTCAAGCTCCCAGATCTAATTCTCCAACTCTTAGCTCTAGCTTGTAGCTCAAGATCTGTCTGCAACATTTCATTAGTTGGTTCATTTTAGTCATAGGCAATATGC